TGACACATGACAACCTCTAATTGATAAAGTTATTAAAAGACAATATTTACAATTTTATATATTACCTTTACATGACGAATAAGAAAAAAAGAATATGATCTACCATGTTCGAGTCCTTTATATTCTTTACGGTCCCGAACATGTGTTATGTTTGGACGCATCTTTCAAACACATAATAACTTGATCCTCGCCAAACGTGAGATTAAATAATTAAATATGTTTTTAATCGAATTTAATATTTAAATGTGTATTCTAACATTTATAGACACACAAAAATAATATGTATTATGCATACATATAATAAAGCTAAATTTTGATCAAACATAAACATATTTTATCTTTATTATTTTTTATTTCTCCCATCTATTAAAAATAATCATGAATTTTTGTTTTTAAATATTTTAATGCCGTTTTTGATTCATATAAAAAAATCTAGTATTATTGAAAAGAAAATATTTTCAAATATTTTATATATTCTTTAAATAAAATTCTCTATATTAATTACCACATATTCGTTATTTCCATATATTTGTTATTAAGAATTTTTAATAATTTTTATTAGAAAATGAATTCCTTAAAACCCTCTTAGGATGATACTTAGGATTTTCATCTAGTGTCTCCTCTATTAATATATAGAAGATAGTAATACTCCTTCTGTATCATTTTAGATGATTTTTAAAGATGTTACACATTAAGAAAAACTTTAATTTCTTTAGTTTTTATAAATTAAAAAATTATTTATCATTCAATTAAATACAATTCAACCAAACTGCAAATACAAATAATCAAAATAAATAAAAATATATTTAATTTGTCTTGAAAACTTAAAAAATCATGGGGCAATTACAAAAATGTCACTTTTTGTGTGCACATTTGCAAAAATGCCACTTAAGGATGCCCATTTGCAAAAATACCACTAATTATAGATTTATAAAACCTATATCTTAAAATTCTAAACCATAAAAAATGTTTTGACCCCTAAAACCCCCTAAACCCTCATAACTAAACTCTAATAGAACATAATTAACCCAAACATAAATGATATAAAGAAAAAATAATTTTGAAAAAGTGGCATTTTTGTAAAGATTTCAAAAATGTGGCATTTTTGTAAAGTGGCACTTGAAAAGTGACATTTTTTAAAATTTCTCAATTTTTTTATATTTGAATTTTTAATTTATTTATTCTAATAATTTAATAGGCAATTCTTATATAAATTAATTCCAACAAATTACATTTAACTGTCTTGTGCACATTTATTTAATTCT